TGAGGAGCCCCCGCTCGGATGTGTCCTCCCYCGCAGCCCCCGCACCTCCCGTCCGAGGCGTTCGGGGGGAAAGGGCTCCCTGCGGGGACCCCTCCAGGGTCCGACCCCCGAGGATGGGGGAGCCCCGGCCCAGCAGAAACAGCAACACCAAGGGTTAAAGAGAAAGCGAAACTTGGCGAGCGGTTTTCGGAACTTCTCGAAAAATCTGCTGACCCGACACTCTCTGGTGGATCCTTTCCTGCAGCCCTCGGCCCCTCAGAGGACAAAAGCCACGCAAGAATTTGGTGGTCTCAGGAAAATTAATCCTGCAACTCCAGAGGTTTATATCCAAAAAGGAGACAGAGGAGTCCTTTATTCAAATAAATGGCGAGGCCATGGGACATTTCCATGGGTTCTTCCAAATTGTTAGAGCGTGCAGCCTACTTTTTATTACAAATTCCCGGCCACATTTCCCTCTCTCTTTCCCCATTGGCTGAGGTATTTGAGAGGTACAGACTCCCCGAATCCCATAATACAGACCCCCAACTAATGTGCATTTCCCCCTTTTTTCTTTGTGTCTCTGTTCTTTTTCTGTAAGTCCAGGGATTTATCACTGTCTTGGGTGAGGAACAGTCTGTGTTAATTGGTGGAATTCCTATGGAATTTATGGTTTCTGCCATTGCTCCTTTCACCTATCAGTATCTGGCCTTATCTACCAGCTGATCCCATAATTTGTTTGTAAAGACATCTCCCTTTTATTCCTTTCAATCCCTCCTCTTCTTGTCTTCTCATTATTTGTCTTTACAAACCTTAATTACCACTGACTTAATTTTCTCTTCCTGAGTCTTTTTTGAATTTGTGATTTTTTTGCAGTGGCATAATTTTCCGCCTTTTTGTAGCCATTTCTGGATCAGTGGGCATGGCCACTCCCTGCATCCCCTTGATCATGTGCTGAATGAACTGCACTAAGCAAGGCATCATGCAAGGTAAAGCAATTAAAGTTGCTATAGGACATAAGAGGAAAAAAAGCATTCATTTCACCCACAATCCACCAGGTAACCACAAAAACATGTCCCATGTCCATCCTTTCCATGTTTGGACGGGTACATGATCTAACGTTCTTACTCCCTTTGTTATTTGTTTTACCACTTTTCCATTGTCATCTATTTGTAAACAGCAGTTTGAGTCATTTAATTTTCCACCCACTCCCCTTTCTTCTGCTCATAAATGATCCAGTACCATCCCATGTTGGAATATCTCATCCCTCATCTGAGTGGATTGATCAGCAAGAAGTTCAAGAGCTGTAGTTGTCCGGTTGGTAATTATTTCAAAGACAGCTTGTAACCTAATTATCCGATTCAAATTATAAATGTGTTTTCTGGCACCTGATATAAATTTATTTGGATTCCATGTGGCTGATCCATAGTGTTGTAATTCTCTCTGGTAGCCATTCATCTTTTCCCCATTTTTGGGTGCTCCCTTCAGCCAAGGATGTATGAATTGACTGCTTTTTTTCTGCACAAAGCAGAGGTTGATGTTCTCCCCACAGCCTCTGCCTGGCCTTGAACTTCACCATGGCCATTGGCTTCCATCCAGGTATTGGGTGGGTTTGTTATAAACTCTGATTCACCTTGTGCTGGTGACAGGTGACAGACTGGGTTGGCAAGTGCTGCATGTCCCACACCGTGCCCCATGGGTGACCTCAGGGCTCTCCCCACACTCAGCTCAGTTTCAATTCCTGTGTTCTCTCTATTTAACCACCTAAAATAAATGGATTACGCAGCAGTGTTGATAAACAAGGCAGCATAGCATTTCCCCAGCACCCCGAACTTCGTCCTCCCTGGGTGATGCCAGCAGCGTGTCCAGGGCCTGAGGTGGCCATGGGAGCAGGGTCCAGGTTCGAGGGTTCCCGGTGTGACCCCGGGTGTGGTGACACCCAATGGAGCATCTCTGGGGGATCTGCTCCTCCTTGGGGTGCTCCCCCTTTCTAGGGGGAACAGTGGGGGTGCTGATGCTTAGGCTGGGCCAGTCCAGGCTGATTTCTCTTCCTCAGGGCAAGAGGACTCCTCACAACCAGGGGCTGTCCTGTTGGCCACTGCGCTGCTTTGGGCTGGGGTAGAGGGAATTTTCCCCCCGTGTTTGGGGTTTGTGCCAAAGCCGGCTCGGTGATGCAGAGATGTTCTGTTAGGGCTGAGCGTGCNCGCGCAGTTTCAGCGGTCCCACCCTGCTCGGGAAACGCCCCGAGATGCCGCAGGAGCCCGGGCAGTGAGGAGCCCCCGCTCGGATGTGTCCTCCCCCGCAGCCCCCGCAGCTCCCGTCCGAGGCGTTCGGGGGGAAAGGGATCCCTGCGGGGACTCCTCCAGGGTCCGACCCCCGAGGACGGGGGAGCCCCGGCCCAGCAGAAACAGCAACACCAAGAGTTAAGGAGAAAGCGAAACTCAGCCACGAGCAATTTATCGTATATTACCTGTCCCAGAATTCCCTGTCGGAATCATACCTGCATCACTTTGACCCTCGGATCACAGTACACGTAGCACAGGTTCGGAGCACCCGCGGTGGGTATTTGGGGACAGAACCCTTCTTCTGACAGAGAGACAAAGCGGGGCGCTGCTCACCTCGTGGAACCTCGGGCCGGGCAGGGCGGGGACTGTGGGTGCTCTGCTGTGGGGTGGCCGCGGTGTGGGAGAAGGGTGGCAGGGGGCGACCGTGCAGGGCAGCAAAGCCCCGCCGGCCTCACCTTACACCAACGACAACAAGCCTTGTTCTGGCTCCCCAAAGGAACGGGCTCACCGAGGACACAGCGCAGCGCTCGCTCCAGGCCAGCCCACCATGGGTGAGTTGGGTGGCTCGTGGGGTGGAGGGGGTGGGTCCTGCAGGGGACACGGTGGGGGACACACGGGGACTCTGCTTGGCCCCTTCTGCTGTCTCCTCCCAGCCGGGGAGCAGCGAGGCCCGTCCCGTTTCACGGGATTCCCGGGGTTCCCAGTGCTCAGGGCTGTAGGAGGGAGGCGCTGGAAGCGCTGCTGCTGCCACCGAGCCCTGCCCTGCCCGGCACAGGGCTCCGGGCTCGACCCGGGGCGAGTGTTAGTGCCCCATTCCTCCCCTTGGATGATTTTTCTTTTTACGTGCAGGTGTAGTCACCACTGCAAGCGTAACCACGGTGCTCTGTGTACTCATCATCGCATGTGCATATGTAGGTGAGTGCCTGGCACGGGATGAGCACGGGATCAGAGAGAGAATGGAAGGGTAAAAGCCAGGAAATTCGTGGGTTGCAATCTACAGTTGTACAGGGAAAGCGAGAGCCGCGCACGCCAGCAAAGCAAACCYGGGAGTTCATTCGCTGCTTGCCGCGGGCAGGGAGGGGTTCAGCAGCTCCAGGAGAGCAGGGCCTCGTCACATGGAACAGAGACCGGGGAAAGAGAAAAACCATCACCTCAAAATGCCCTCCTTCCTTCTTCATCCTCTCGTTTTATATCACACGGTCTGGGGTATCCCGCTGGGATCACCTGTTCCTGCCGTGTCTCCTCCCAAATCCCTCCCCTACATCCCAAATCCCTTCCCCACATCCCAAATCCCTCCCCTACATCCCAAATTCCTTCCCCACATCTCAAATCCCTCCCCAGCATGGCCAAAGGAGGGGCAGGAAAGGCCCCGGCCCTGGGCACGCTCAGCCCTAACAGAACATCTCTGCATCACCGAGCCGGCTTTGGCACAAACCCCAAACACGGGGGGAAAATTCCCTCTACCCCAGCCCAAAGCAGCGCAGTGGCCAACAGGACAGCCCCTGGTTGTGAGGAGTCCTCTTGCCCTGAGGAAGAGAAATCAGCCTGGACTGGCCCAGCCTAAGCATCAGCACCCCCACTGTTCCCCCTAGAAAGGGGGAGCACCCCAAGGAGGAGCAGATCCCCCAGAGATGCTCCATTGGGTGTCACCACACCCGGGGTCACACCGGGAACCCTCGAACCTGGACCCTGCTCCCATGGCCACCTCAGGCCCTGGACACGCTGCTGGCATCACCCAGGGAGGACGAAGTTCGGGGTGCTGGGGAAATGCTATGCTGCCTTGTTTATCAACACTGCTGCGTAATCCATTTATTTTAGGTGGTTAAATAGAGAGAACACAGGAATTGAAACTGAGCTGAGTGTGGGGAGAGCCCTGAGGTCACCCATGGGGCACGGTGTGGGACATGCAGCACTTGCCAACCCAGTCTGTCACCTGTCACCAGCACAAGGTGAATCAGAGTTTATAACAAACCCACCCAATACCTGGATGGAAGCCAATGGCCATGGTGAAGTTCAAGGCCAGGCAGAGGCTGTGGGGAGAACATCAACCTCTGCTTTGTGCAGAAAAAAAGCAGTCAATTCATACATCCTTGGCTGAAGGGAGCACCCAAAAATGGGGAAAAGATGAATGGCTACCAGAGAGAATTACAACTCTATGGATCAGCCACTTGGAATCCAAATAAATTTATATCAGGTGCCAGA